AAAAGGTTCATTTTGGCTCACAGTTTTGGAGGTTTTAGTCCATGGATAGTTGGTCTGTAGTGAGGCAGCATATCATGGTGGCAGCATGTGACAAAACTGTTTACTTCATGACTAGGATGCAAAAAAGAAAAAGGACGATATCTGCATCTCACATTCCCCTTCAAGGACACCCCCTTCCAATGACCTCCCACTAGGCCCCACCTCTTAAAGTTTCCACTACTTCCCAGTAGCACCAAAGGCCAGGGACTAAACCTCTAAGAACTCATGGGCCTTGTGGGGCTGCATTCATTCAAGCCATACCAGACTCCAAGGCTAACATGATCTTGGCTGTGTCTGACTCCCTGACCACACCTCATGCCATATCCCCCCTTGGGGATAGAAGCAGGAGATTAGGGGGTGTATTCCAGAGGATACTTCTAAAGAGCTTACAGTCTAGTTGGGAGCACAGAACTAATCTGGAGAAAGCATGTCAACAGCCATACTCAATAGCAGCTGTTTAGGTGCAAACCCAAGTGATACAGGAGGAAAGGCATGCGGGAGTGGAGGGACTGTGGTAGGACAGCTGGAATGGAAGGGACCACAACTGTTGGGTCCATCAATACCACTGAACAAATGACTGACATAATACACCAATAAATGACAAGATTCCTGTCCTCTGGATCTCACAGCCTGGTGGGTGATGATAACAAGGAATCAAATGGTTGGTCATAGGACATGTGATGGCAAAGTCAGATTCTAAGTACTCTAAAGGTAAGTGGGCAGGAATGGTCAGCTCTGCTTAGAGAAGAGTCAAGAGAGACTTCAAATAAGGAGGGGACATGTTTCTGGGATTTAAAGGAAAATTAGGAGTAGGCAGGGGACAGACACGGCAGGTTGAAGATCTTATAGCATTGGTGAACCAAGAGTGAGTTAGTTGCTCCCGAGCTGACAGTGTACGATTGAATGTTAAATGTCATAGCCACAGGGCTTTGTGAGGGGAGGAGTGGAGGTGACTGGTTGGCACACAGTAGGTTGAGAACAGATGTTAATAGAAGGATGCTCACTGGGTTACTAAAGGCAATTTAAGACAGAAACGAGTCACAACTGGGCCTTGAAATGTGAAATTGTAGTCTAAATGAAAGGCAGTATGCTAATAAGGGTCATAATTAATATTAATGAGAAGATAGTCACTAATGACGAAACCACTGAGGAGGGGCAGAAGCCAGGTGTACAGGAGGTGTGTCGGACCCTCCAGCCAGCCACTCTCTCTGGGCCTGCCATATTCGAGGGAGGGCAGGGGAAGGACTTCCGGATTCACAGCTTGTGGGGAGGAACCTGCCTGCCCTCCTCTGCCCTGGCTGCTGCTGGAACTGCCCCCTGGTGGAGGGCTGGCCTTGGAGCAGGGACTTCTGCCCTGCCAGTCAAAGGTGAGCCCAGGATGCTGATCCCCAGGAACATGGCTTTGCCCTGTTCTGCACAGGTGAAAGCCTGGGTCTCTACCATTTGCTCCACCTTGCTTCCTCCCATCCCAGATCTTTCGAGGGCAAGGCCACTGGGATTCCTGGACCATGATCTGCAGGCCTGGGAATTCAAATGGAGTATCTGCCTGGAAAATGTTTACCTGTGTGGAACTGGTGATTGGCAATTCCCTGAACTGTACTGATAGAGTGAAGCAACGCAGTCTGGGGGGACGAGGGAGGGACAGGACAGCTCTCTCTGCTTTAGAACATGTGAATGATCTTCACGCCTCTCTCTTCTTTTCACCATAAACCCCTCTAGGCCACTCTGCTTACTGTCCACCTGTCTCATTTTAGTGGTCATCTGTTAGAGTCTGTAAACAAGTCAGGATGGCGCCTGGCATTTTGCAGAGGGAGTGGTTTGTGAAGTAATGCCAGTGAGCCATTAAGTGTGGAGATTCCTTATTGGTTGACTGATGTATCTAGTTTATGCTAATTAAGATAAGCTGTGTGGAATGTATATATACCTCTGTTGTCCTACAATAAATGGCTCCTACTCCTGCTGTATCAATCTACACAAGTTGTTCGTCACCCCCCGGTTATTTTGCTGCAGCCAGACTGCGGATCAGCCTGACAGTGAAGGTCTAAAGCAACACTAGTTAATAATAATAGCTAACCTTCTTCTGAGTCAGCTATTGTTCTAAGCCCTTTATGTTAATTAGCTCATTTAATCCTCTCAGAGAATTCTGAAGTAGATACTTTTCTTACTCCCATTCTATTTGCATGAAGACAGGCTCAGAGAGGTGGAGCCATTTGCTCAAGGCCACTTAGACCCGATTTACAGAGCCAGGTTTAGAACTGGGCAGTGTGGTTCCTGAAATTATCCTTCCTAGGCGTGGTGGTTGGGGAACTCTGAGAATCAGGAAGCCAGCCCAGAGTGGTGGCGCACGCCTGTGATCCCAGTGGCTCAGCTCAGGAGGCTGAGGCAGGAGGACTGTGAATTCAAAACCAGCCTCAGCAATTTAGCAAGGCCCTAAGCAACTCAGTGAGACTCTGTCTCAAAATAAAATATAAAAAGGTGAGGGGAGATGGCTCAATGATGAAGCGCCCCTGGGTTCAATCCCTGGTACAGAAAACAAAAACCAAAAACCAAAACCAAACCCAGGAAGCCAGTGAGGAATATGGCCAAGAGCCACTTGGTGCTAGGTTCTGAGAGCCCCTAGTTTTGGTGGAAGAATATTCTTTCATATGGGTGGAGCACACAGGGAAAACACCTTACATTTTCATAGCCTTGGTTTTCTCATCTGTATTGTGTGAAAATAATCATTAATCCATTGAGAGGAATAAACGAAAAAGCCCATGCAAAGTGCCTGACTCATAGTAGGTGCCCCCCAAATATGGATTTCTTCTCCCTCCCTCCTTCCTAGGTCAACTCGGCTTCAGAGGAGGCTCAGTCATTCTTTCCATGAGCATTTACCGAAGGCTTACCCACTGTGGGACCTTTCGCTGTTTCCTGGGAATTAAGATAGAGACTGTAGCCAAGTGAAGTGGAGGGGGGGGGGGGGGATGACCTGGAGTGACAGAAATGGATCAACTAATCCAAGAGAGCACAGTGACAAATTAATGAATGTTCTTTTTAAAGCAATAGCCCCAGGAGAGTGCACCGAATGGTTGTTCTGGAGAGGTTCATGCTCTAGAGACTCAACAGCCCTTGGGTGCCCCTCCTAGGCCTGGGGCTTCCCTCCTGTCATGGGGTGCTGGAGTAAGAGCCCAGCTTTTAGGAAAATAGAGTCTCAGAGAAAAGAATGACCTGCCAAAGTCGTAGAGCTCCTCAGGGCACAAGCAGAACCACTAGCGGGGCTTTCCCTTTCTTTTTCCTTTCCTCCCTTCCTCTCCTTCCCTCTCTTTCCCTTGCTTCCTCCCTCCCTTCCTCCTTTTCTGGTGCTGGGGGGTGAACCCAGAGCCTAGGGCATGCCAGGCAAGCACTCTACCACTGAGGAGCGCCCAGCCCCAGGCCTTTCATTTCCCGTCTGGAGGTCTTTCCAACTCAGGGAAGGTCTCCATTTCTTCTGTTATCCTCACAGCTGCATTGGAGAGGAATAATTCTGCTCTAATTTGGAGCCACAGTTTATTCAAAAGTTTGGCTGAAAATAGTTTGGGAGTATTTTTTTTTAAGATAACTTACCCCCCCCCCCCCCAATACCACCACCACAGGAGGAAGAAGCTAGGAATATTCGAGGGAACTTGTCCAGGTATCTATCTACCTAGGAGATAGGCAGGGCTGGTGGCAAGGCTCCCAGTAGGAACTGAGGGCACCAAACTTGAATGCTATATCATCACCAAGTGCTGGTGTCAAATATTTGCATTTGCAAGTGAACTTTATACACAGGACAAATGTCAGACACTTTCGATGGAAGATAAGGTATAAAGCTAACAGATTTCTGTACTGGGGGCTTTGAGCTTTGCAAAGTATCCTTTGGAGAATTGGTGGGGATGCAGCGCGGAGGCCTGCTTGAAGTTTGGAGTCTTCAGTCCGAAAGACTGTCCAGGGACCAGATTCATTCAGTTCTAAAGTAACTCCAGGGGCTTTCAGAAGGCCCTTTCCTGCAGGATCCGGGGGCCAGGACTTTTCCGATGGAGGTCTGATCCTGTTTTGGCAGGGCGATGGATTAGGTGACCCCCACCTCCAAAAGATTTTATAGGCTTTGGGATTCTGAGTGACTGCACGGCCATGTGGGGGTGCCTGTGTGAGCCCCGCGACAGCGCGAGTGGGTGTTTGTGCTCCCTGGTCGGTGGGAGGCGCGTGAGTGTGGCCGCCGGTGGGTGTGTCTGTGGCGCCCCAGCTGGGGGCTGCGCCCGTTGCGCCCACTTGTGGCTCCCGGGCGCCGCCAGGAGGAACCCAGCCTTTGCCGCTTCTACCGAGGACGCCACGGGATAGGAGGAGGACTGGAGGCTGATGACATGAGGGCGCCGTCTCCCGAGTGATGGCAGCGCGCGCTGCCTCGCCGCCTCCGCCGCTCAGCCCCGGACTCCTTACGTCAGGGTAGCTGGGTCCCCCCTCCGCGCGGGAGCCAGCGAGCAGCGGGAGAGCAGAGCAGAGCGCGCCGCGGAGCCGGGGCGCCCTCACCGCGTGCGGAGCCCAGCCCAGCCTAGCCTAACCCCGCAAGAAGAAGCGCCGCGGCTTCGTCGCCGGACGCCACTCGCCGATCCAGCACTCCCCGGCCTCTGTCGCCCGGACCCGTGGGGCGCCGGGCTCTTTCTGTGCGCCCCCCGCCATGCGCGCCGGGCTCCGTGGGTCTCCTGAGCAGCCCCAGTGCGGTGGGCACGGGAGCCCAGGCCGGGGCCCTTCTTCCTGAAGTAGTTGGGTGGCCGGTGAAGGGGGTCGCCACGTCGGGGGCGCGGCCCGGACCCGCGGAGTTGGCCCCCGAGCTCGGGGAGCGGGGCCACCCGCGCCGCCCCACCATTACCTCCCCGGGAGGCAAGGAGGAGCTGGTGGCGGTTGCCTCCCGGCTGTGGCAGCGGCGGCGGCGCGCCTGCCTGGCGGCCGTCGGCGTACTCTTGGCCATGGCGCTCGGGCTGCTCATCGCCGTGCCGCTGCTGCTGCAGGCGGCGCCCCCCGGAGCAGCGCACTACGAGATGATGGGCACCTGCCGCATGATCTGCGACCCATACACCGCCGCACCCGGCGGGGGACCCGCGGGCGCCAAGGCGCCGCCGCCGGGACCCAGCACCGCCGCCCTGGAAGTCATGCAGGACCTCAGCGCCAACCCTCCACCTCCCTTTATCCAGGGACCCAAGGGTGACCCGGGGCGACCCGGCAAGCCAGGGCCGCGGGGTCCCCCTGGAGAACCGGGTCCACCGGGACCCAGGGGTCCCCCGGGGGAGAAGGGCGACTCGGGACGACCAGGGCTGCCCGGGCTGCAGCTGACAACCGGAGCGGCCAGCGGCGTCGGAGTGGTGGGCGGCGGAGCCGGGGGCGGTGGCGACTCGGAGGGAGAAGTGACCAGCGCGCTGAGCGCCGCCTTCAGCGGTCCTAAGATCGCCTTCTACGTGGGACTCAAGAGCCCCCATGAGGGTTACGAGGTGCTCAAGTTCGACGACGTGGTCACCAATCTCGGCAATCACTACGACCCCACCACAGGCAAGTTCAGCTGCCAGGTTCGCGGCATCTACTTCTTCACCTACCACATCCTCATGCGAGGCGGCGACGGCACCAGCATGTGGGCGGACCTCTGCAAGAATGGGCAGGTCAGTAATTGCCTCCCGTGTTGGGCCCCACACAGACCCTCGCCCGTGTCCCGAACCGCCCAGGAAACCAGTCCCTTTCTCCCTATTTGGGAGCGCTGGAGTAAGCCCTGGGAAGGAGTGCGCTGCTGGGCCACTGCGTCCCTTTCCCCAACATTTTCGGGCAGCACTTACGCCAACGTAGCGCTAGAGGTTGGGCCTGGAGCGCCCGGAGACCCTGCTACCCAGCCTGCATTTCCCCAGATACTTGCGTCCCGGCCTGCAGCCGCACCGGCTCTTCGGAAAACTGTTTTCTTTAGCTCCCAGGTTGCACGTAAACCGCCTCTTGCCCTCCAGCTTCCTTTCCTCTGGTCCCTAGCCCTTGGTTCCCACCCTTTCACACCGGGTCAGTGTTTACGAAGTCGCCTCTCGCCCTCCTTCCGGGACTTGCCAGCTGCGGGGGTCGGGGTCGGGGATGGAGGGGAGGAGAGGACCGAGCAGGAGTCGCTAAATTGGAGAGAGCGGGGAGCTGGGGTGGGACTGTGGACGCACAAGGCCTGGCAGGGGGCGCGCACGGTGGGGGCGGGGCAAGGGCTTAGGAAGAGGTGCTCCGGTTCATCGCTCCCACGGTTTTCCTTCAGGTTCGGGCCAGCGCCATCGCGCAGGACGCGGACCAGAACTACGACTATGCCAGTAACAGCGTGGTGCTGCACCTCGATTCAGGGGACGAGGTGTACGTGAAGCTGGACGGCGGGAAGGCGCACGGAGGCAATAACAACAAGTACAGCACGTTCTCGGGCTTTCTTCTGTACCCGGATTAGGGGCGCAGAGGGCGCGAGGTGGGGTAGCTTCAAGCCGCCCTATCTCCACCCGGGCGCGCGGCTCTTTGGTGAGGGCCACTTTTCGCTTCATGACACTTCCTGACATCTCCGTTGGAAAAGACACACCCCTGCTGTCCTCCTTGCCCCGCTCCCAGTCTCAGTGTGGCTGCAACTTACCACCATGCTGCAGGCGGTGCCCCTGGTTCCTGTGCCCAACCCGGAGAGGGAGAGGGGGGACGCCCAGTGGCGAGCTGAGCGTGAACCGGAGCCCTCGCTGCAGTTGCGCTCAGACTTTGCAAATGTGATTGGACTGGACAGGCCGAGCCAGAGCCTGCCCTCTTTCAGACCCCCTCTTCCTCCTCCCAGTGCCCCCAGGCCAAGGGCTCTAGACCCAGGCCAGGGAGATTGGCCAAAGTGAGCACCGGCTCCCTGGGGCCTCCTTCTTTGTGACCCGAAATACTCGTGCAGATTTTCCTGTCCATCTGCCAAAAACCCACCCACAGCAGAATTTCAGCAAAGGAAAATTCACCTTTCCACACCGCACTCACTTCCTACTCAGACCCACTGCGATGCATTAAATTATGTTTTTAGACTATGGGCTCCCGTTGTCTTTGTCCTCACGACGGCCCCTGTGCTGGAGTTCCAAACCTCCGCTTCCATTGAAAGGTTGAACTGGGGCCCCAGTAGCCCCATCTATGCCTGCTTTCCATCACTGCCCAGTCCTTCTCATCTGGGATGGATGAGAAGATATGGGGAGACCCGGGCCTGTCATCTTTTCCCTGAGGTTCTCCACTGCAGTCCTGAACTGGCCTGACCCAGGAGGGGCAGTTAGAGGAAGGCAGGAAAATAGTGACTGGCCTCCAGTCTCTGGTAATCTGCCTTCCTGGAGTGGCTGGGGTGAGGCCAAAGGGGCGGGGCTTCTAGGGAAGGAAGCCAGAGGGGTCTTCTGCAGAAGATCTGTGGGCTCTTGGGCTCCAAGGTGGGAAGTGCAAAAAACCCCAAGCAGAGCCCCTCGCTGTGCCTTCAGCTTCCGGGGCACAGTCGGTGTACCGCCCTGACCTAGGTCTACATCTCTCAAAAGAGCTGGCAAATTGAGGCAATTCATGGATCATCCACCTCCCTGAATTCAACCAGAATTGGTAAGTGAGATAGACACAACCTCTGAGAGGAACAGCCCTTTTCTGAGGTGCTCCCTTCCTGTTTGTGGGGTGGGGTGCTCTGGAGTAGGATTATCTATTAGTCTCTCTTCCCCTCAGCATTTCACACACACAAGTTAGGAGAACAGCTCACCTACTTTCCATTTTTTCCCCCTCTTTACTTTCTTGTTTTTGTTGTTGGTATACCGAGTTCCAACAAACAGTAAGTTGTCTACAAAATTACTGGTTAACCACCCCTAGTACTTACAGAGCTCATTTTGGCTAGTTTGAAAAGAAATGTGTGTATGTGTGTGTGTGTGTGTGTGTGTCCGAGGGTGTGTATCTATGTAAGCTGGATACACACACATCTCCAATGTGGATATTATGTTGTCCACACATAATTCAGGTTTCATATGTGCACATGCATGTTTGCATAGGCCCATAATGAGGATCTATGTCAGTATGGTGTGTGACAATGTTCTTGACTGCATGTCTGCCCCCAAATAGCATTGTGTTGAACTTCAGTTCCTGAAGCTGAAAAGCTGTGATTCCCATTTAAAAGACTATTATACCCCCTGCCTCGAGTCCTGTGGCTGTTGCTGTTCCTCTTTTATGCTCTTATTTTATTTGAATAATGTTTTATTGTCATTCACTTGAATATGAGCAATGATTATGTCCGCTTTGAGTACAGGGATAAAGTGCTCAAAGAGAGGTAGGGAAAAAAAATATATACAAATTACCATCCCCCAGCTTCGAACTCAAACAGAACCCTAATTCCCAGCCCCACTCTACCCCCACTGAATGTGGACACCAAGCCCAGCTGAGCCCACCTGCTTCCAGGAACTAAGGAGGGCAGAATCAGCTCATCTACAGTTGCATACGTATCACTTTCTGATGCCTTGTTGATTGTATCATCCAGAAATGCGATTAAAACCAAATGTCTGAGACCCAAATGAAGTCTAATTGCTATGGATCTGCAATCCCCAGCGGGCCCCTAATCCTTTTTGACTTATTCCTCCCCTTCCTCAGATGAGATGGAGCTTAGACACAAAGCCCTCGGTTTAAATTTCAAAAATTAAAATTGACATGCAGCGGTGGCTTTCCTGGGAGCGGGAGGAATTTCTAAGGAGGTGCCCGAGCCCAGCTTGATCCTCTGCATTAAGAAGCAATTTGTACTTCTAACAAAACCCCTGCCACTCCCCTTTGGCGGAAGGGCAGTGGAGACGCCTTGCCCAGGTCTGGCTGTTCACGATACTTAGACAAATTTGAATCTGAGATTCCTCCATCTGTATTCCCTGGTGCAGCCAGCCTTCTTGCAATTCTAATGCCCAAGCTGCCGGGAGGTGCTGCCAGAGGTGTCAGCTGCTAAGAGGATGATAGATTGATGAGGCAGCGGGCGGGAGTCCTGCCAGGCGGGAGCAAGCCTGCTCAGGGGCAATCTCTCTGCATCTGCACACGCTCCAGGTCCCAGGCAGGCCCCTCGTGGACCAAGGTCCATACCCCATGATGTCTCTGGAGGACTCCCTGAGAAGGGGAAGGTTGGGTTGGGGACACCATTCCTCCCACCACAGCCACCCCTGTGGAGCCATCAGTCTTGGGGTGCATGTGGAATACAAGAAACCCTGCGTCCCAGACACTTACCCTCGTCTCTGGTTGAGTAGGGAATTATTATCAGTTGTAATTAGAAATGATTGCTTTAGTGTCTTAATTGCTTTTTGGGTACCTTTTTAAGTTATCTTCCTAGGTTTGGATTAATATCCTGGCTTTACCCAGCAAAAAGGAAATACATTGTTCTATCCCACTGACAGCTGGTACAGTTGAGGCTCAGAGGGGTTCATGACTTGGTCAAGTTCACAAAGCTTATAAGAGGTTGAGCAGGGACTTGAACACTGAGCTCTACGATCCTGTCCTGCCTGACTACACAGATGGAGCACATCCACATCCCAGAGATCTGAGGCCTTTGAAAGGAGAACAGAGAGCAGACATGTCACCCCTTCCTGTGATATAAGAAGGGCCAGATGAGAAAATCAGCTCTGCTTCTTCACCCAGGCTGCCTGCAGACACGGGCTCCCACTCCTGAGGACTTCGTTGAACACCCTGGCTGTGGGATCAGTGGGTAGCCCAGGGGAACCTTTAGTGCCAAATGCTCCAAGTGGACCTGTGGAGACAGGTCCAGCAACTTCTCACTGGCCACTATCTCCTGTGACAGATCTCCCTTTCTCTCTCGGGGGAGAGGGGGCATCCTGCAGGTGGGGAGAGTTTAGCTGAAGTGGACATCGGCTGTCTCTGATGGCGTGCGGGCGGGTCTTTTCCTACGCCCAGACACAGCACCTATGTGCCTATTTTCAGGGAGGCCTGAGTGCATGAGGCACACACCTGGGTCCCAGAAATTAGATAGAGGTTAGACCTTTTGCTCTTTTTCTTTCCTATCTACATGAGCAGATGGATGGCTTTCTTGGGCACCCAAGACAAAACTCCAGGCCCCCTCTTCACGGGGCTACCACCCCACCCCAGAGGACACACTGCCCAGCCTAGTTGCTTCAGACTTCTCTGATCCTGTCATTTTATTGGTTAAACATTATTTGAGCACTCACCTCCAATATGTATATTTGACTGATGAATAATTTACGTAGACCATTGTCAATCTATACTTTTAAAAAACTTTCCATCTTTCTGTATTTATATTCGTCCCAGGACCCTTACATTCAAGTCGGTGTCTCTATTCCAGCTGGCTAACCCATTCTGGAAACAGGCGTCCCTTCATCAGAGCAACAACAACAACAAAAAACGAGGGTTAATTCAAGTCTTTCCCTGCAACTTGCCATTTTTCCAGAATTGCTGGCATCAACATCTGCCCTTTTATGAGGCATGGGCAGCCGTGCACACTTTGACTCATGCGGGACCTACCTTCAGTCTAGGTTTTCAGTTTTAGCAATGCCTGATTTCTCTCTTTAGATTAAAAAGAAATGAAGTGTCAATATTTCTTTTTGACACGGGGTTTTTTGGAGATCCAGGTGTTGGGGCTCTGCTGGGGCCCCTCCGAATAGCTGGCAAATGGAAATCAGGAACTTCTCAGGAATGTTTTGGTCTCTGGTTGGGTTACTGTCACATTCTAATTCCCTTCAACTGAGGAGAGCACGCCCCGGAAGGATGGTGGATAGCACAGGGCAGACCCTGCGTCCATGTGGATCACCACAGAATGTCCCTCGCCCCCAACAATTAGAATGGTGCAAGGCACACAGTAGGTGCTTAATAAATATTTATGGAATGGACAGACAGATGGATGGATGGATGGGTGGGGGTATCCTTGAAGGGAGTCCCAAGAAGATAAATCTTGGAAAGCTTTTCAGGGGCCAAAGGGGGTCTCCCAGCAAGCTGAGTCACTGCTGTTAACCAACAAGTGCCTTCCCTCCCCACCCCCAGCCCTGAACGTGTAAGGTGTGGGAGAATGAGGAGGACCATTTGCAAAGGAGCCTTTATTATAGCCTTTGAGGTCCTGGTCACAGCTTTAGGAATTTCCAGAACTTTCTAGTTGACATACACTTATGCCACTGCCACACTGCAGCTCTGGGCTGATAGAAGCCCGCTCCCCCAGGGGGGCCTTGTGTACCCGTAGGCCGGCTTCATTTCCAGTGGGGTCCCCTGGTTGATGCTTTGGCTGTCAGGATTCTTTTATCTTCTTCAAATGGAAAACATCTTTTGAGAAATCGTTGACATAATATGCACTTACAAAAAGATGTAAACAACACAGAGAAATATAAAACAGAAAGTAAAAACTCCCCCTCCCTCTCTGCCATTTTCTTCCCCAGAGATAATTTCTGTAATAGCGTGGCTTGCATTCTTCCCAATATTTCAAATGCACAT